AGCTTCGCCCCCGACTTATCACGCGCACTATGGTTAGAGCCAACGAGGATGACGGGCTCTATCTTCGCGTTCATAGGCTCGCGTGCCCTGGCCGCCTCACTGTAGCTGGTCGTGTCGGACTCTTGCTTCGCCTCCGGCTTCTCCTTGCAGGGTAGCGCCTCTGGGAGCGGGCCGTAGGCGGTGAGGTGAAGACTTGTTTGTTTCTCGCTTTGCGCACGCTCTGGTTCTTCCGCTTCGTGCGCGCTTTGGTTCTGGCTTGTGACTTCGCCGCCGTCCTCGCAGCTGTTGCCAGAAGTGCCAGCACCTGTCCTGTAGCCTGGGCTGCCGCTGCCTGCCTTCTCGCAAGGGCCGCCACTGCCTGCCTTCTCACACGTGTCAGTTTCTGCAGTTGCCCCGCCGCCCGCTGTCGGCGCCGTCCCTGCTCGCGCAGCGTTGGGCTTCAGCTCGCCCTCTTGCTTCTCGCAGGGTGGCGCACCGCTCAGAGCAACGGAGGGATTGGGCTTCTCGCTTCGCGGACACTCTGGTTCTGCCTTCGCTTCTCGCGCGCTCTTGTTCTGGTTGTATCTTCACCCACGTCTGGCAGCCAGCGAAGGGCCCAGAAAGTAAATGACTGCTGTTCTTGATGCGGCTGCTGCAATTCTTGATGCGGCTGCTGCCATTCTGGATGCGACTGCAGCCATTATTGATGCGACTGCTGCCAAAGATCGGCCTCCTGCTGCTCTGAGCTGTAGCAGATCACGTCTGCACTGTCGCTAATGTCTCGGGAGGTCGGCACCTGGATGATATCTGGAAGTTGCCACGGCCAGGAAAAGTCTTGCCTGAATTCGTAAGGCTCGCTACTTGTGTGGGCCACATTATCGATGTCCGAAATTCGAGAAAAAGGATGCACCTGGCGTGTATGCTGGTGCCTCGGCCCGCAGTTCAGGGTCGCACGAATCTTTCTGAACAACTGCCTGCTGCTCGCATTGGAGTTGGATGGCAATATGTTTCCAGTCTCGCATACGTACTCGCCTTCCTGTTCTGACCGCGTATCCGACACGGCGAACCGCCTTCTCAGACAGTCTCGACGATCTCCTCACGAGTCGTCGGTTGCTCCTGGTCTCGATCATTGTCTTGATGCAGGCGAGAAAGAAAAGAAATATGGTGCATCAAGACATCGCGGCGCCTGCTGGGAAGCGCACGCCTGAGGCCGGCCCGCGCGGCCGCCCGCCCCCGCGGGGGGCAGCCGGAGTTCGGGCCCCCGATGGCCTTGAGCCAAAATGGCTACGGACCCTCCTCCTCCTCCTCCTCCTCCTCCTTCTCCTTCACCTCCCCCTCCTCCTCCTCCTCCTCCTCCTCCTCCTCCTCCTTCTCCTCCTTCTCGTCCTCGTCCTCGTCCTCGTCCTCCTCGGGGATCAAGGTGCGTGAGCGTTCCTCGCCCTCGATCTGTGCCTCGGAAAGTCTCCACGAGGACTCTGGGTAATTACCTCTGGGGTCGTCTGGCGGCCCAGGGAAGGGGGGCCAGAGCTCCAGTGTTAGGTCGGGCATGTCCCCCATACAGGCGGATTTTGGACGAAAAATCAAAAATAAACAAAAAATGCCTGATCATTGCCAAACGTAGTCAAACATCGTCCCCCGACTATTTTTGACTGTCTTTAAAGATTCCCCCTGTAGGGGAACACGCCCGGCTTAAGGCCAGAGCTCCGGCGGCACGGGGGAATTGGGGCGGCAGGACCGTCCGAGGCATAGGCATCCGAGCGGGCCTCTCGGGCCACAGGACTCTGCAGGTGAGCCGCCCTGGCGGTCTGGGAAAGGGGAGGAGGGGCGAGGTCTGTGCTGTTTCGTTTCGGGGGGCAAGCCACCGGGGAGGCCCAGGTCGCCACTGCCAGACATGCCTACTAGCCCTGGTCAGGACCTCGCCAGGAGAGGTCCAGAGGGGCGACTCTGGACGGGGGATCGGGAAACATCCTCCTCGCACGAAAGCGGGGGATAACAAGGGAGGGGTAAGGCAATCAGCCGCGTGCAGCTGAGCTTCACGCCGCCTCGCGGCGCCAACACAACGCCCAGCGGCGAGGGGCGGACACCGCGGGCCCCCTTTCCCGACCCCCCGCTCTCCTTCGACACGAGCCTCCTCGCCCTCATCGCTTGCCTGGAGCCTTAGGAGGCAACTACTGGGAGGTTTTCGTCGGAAAGATTACGGAGGATTAAGCCCCATTTGGGAACTGTTACGCCGGAGTGGGCCTCGGATTAAGCGGGGATTAAGCCGGAGCAAGCGGGACCAAGCGGGACTTGGCGGTATCAAGCGGGACCAAGCCGGACTAAGCCAGATTCCGGACCAGGGCAACATCAGAATCTGACCTCCCAGGAGTTGCATCCGAAGGAGGAAGAGGAGGAGGAGGAGGAGGAGGAGGAGGAGGGAGGAGGAGGAGGAGGAGGAGAGGAGGAGGAGGAGGAGGAGGGCACGACGGGAACTGCGGACGACCCCGCGCATTCTCCCTCGGACCGGCGGTGGCCTCCGCTCGGGGCCCCGCGGGGGCTGCACGCTCCGACAGGGCGGCGCCTGCTCCGTCGGCGTCTGGGAGAGAGGCCAGGACGGGGGGCCCTCTCCTCCTCCTCCTCCTCCTCCTCTTCCTCCTCCTCCTCCTCCTCCTCCTCCTCCTCCTCCTCCTCCTCCTCCTCCCCACACTGCTCCGCCTCTTTCTCCTCCTCCCCGCACTCCTCCTCGCACGCGTCTTGCCCTGCTCCCTCCTCTCAAGGTCTGCCTCAAGGGGGAGGCACACGAGGGGGCACAATAACGCTTTCGGAGGCCCTCCGAGGTGTTCGCTGGGATCGGTAATCTTTTCGTTGGTGTTCAGCGTCGCCGCAAGGGGAGGGGGGACGAGAAGGAGGGGGAGGAGGATCCTCGTGCATCATCCTGTCGTAAATTCAACAACTCATCGTCTCCGCTCTTTCCTTCCAGACCTCCTCGCCATTGATCGTAGGGAATACTATGTTCAACATCTGGTTCTCGGCTTAGCGCTGCGAGCCTTCGCCTTGGAAGCTAATTACCACCAATTGCACTCATAAAGGCGGCTGGTTTTCAAATTGAGGCTCTCGCATTAGCGACGCGCTCGTCCGTTGGGGCGTTCCCAATCGGTTACACGGGTGGAGGAACAATTGTTTTCACAATGTTGCTCACTTTGTGACGCCAGAGGTCCGAGGATGAGGAAGGGCAAGAGGGGCAGCCAGGGGTGGCCGCGACGACGACGAGCTCCCAGACGTGTCCTGGAGCACGATCTGGTCACAATTTCGAAATCTCCATCCCCTCACCCAGGACTGGTTTTCCATGCCGAGCTTTTTCTGGATGTCCCCGGGGCCCCCAGAAGCCGAACACTGCCCCGACTTACCCGCCGATATCTTTTCACGACGCGGCAAAATCTCAGGGTGAGGGGGGCAAGAAAATACCAGAATCGCTATTCCCCAGACCTCCCCAGTGGCGCATTCTGACAGCCGCGCCGGCGAGGAAAAAAGGTAGCGGTATCGGAGGCTCTTCCTCTTCAGCGGTATGGGGGGAAGACAACGGCGACCTGGCCGCAGAGTCCTTGGCGCGCCCGCTTCGCTGGTGGCGGCTGTGACAGAGGCAGCCGCGGTGGGAACTCGGGGGGCTCCTCGTCGGAGGGGGGGGCAGGTCTCCTCGCGACCCGTGGTGCGGCCTTGTGTTCCACCTGGTCTGCCTTCTCCTCCCCGTCTTTTTGTTTTTCTATTTCCCCGCTCCTCCTCCTCCTTCCTCCTGCCCTCCCCCTCTCCTCGCACTTCCTGCGGTATGCGAATCAGCGACGGACGGACAAAAATGGCTGCACTGGCCAATCCTGCACGCGCGCAGTTACAGAACCCTTACACATGAGGGCCGAGGGGCTGGCAACACGACGGACACTCCTGTTCTAGCAACTGGGGCTCGGCCGCGGGCCCAAGGATACCGATCCCGACGACCCCCAAACCCACGGCGATGGCGCAGCTCACATGACGATCTCCCTGCAGCTCCGACCCGAACGGTTTTCCCCCCCTGCCGTCACAGCCTCCAATTTGGCCGCCAGGGCCTCGGAGTTGAGAGGACGATGGCGGCAGCGTGGAGACCAGCCTTCACGACCTGCGCCGAGGTGCAGTTGGCCGATCCCTCCAGGCTGCCAAGGGCAGCGACCTCGGGCACGGAACGCGGGACGGCCCGCGGAGGCTCACTGAATTAGGGGAAAAGACCAGACACAGGCAGCGCCCGCTAAACCAGCCGACGCGGCCGTGGACGTTGCTGCGCGCGGCCGTCTGATATTTTGGGCCGCAAGCGGGAGTTCGGCATCCCTGATGGAGGCGGACCCTTGCGATCTCGTCGACCTCCATCTTCCTAAAGAGGGGTCGAAGACGACCCCAAGCACCCGACCGGGCCAGACCCGCTCAAATACGGAGGAAATTCCACCCTTAGAAGGATGTCCCCTTGGGAGGGCGCGCCCGCTCCTGTGCCTGAGCTTGGCCTGGCCAAGACCGGTTCTGGCGCATAGCGGGCGAGCGCCAAACCCATAGGGCTCAGGGCCGGGACTCGCGAGGACACCATGCTCCCCGGCGTGCGTCGCTCGGACTTCGACTCCTACCCCATACCTCCATCCTCCTGCGATGCGACAAGCCAGCAGCCTTCTCCCGCTTCTCTTCTCGCTCGGGTGCAGTCCGTCGCGATGCCGAACGTGCGCGAGCAGATGTATATTTTGGCCGTGTTCCGTTGCGGCGGCGCGCCGCGGCTCGCGGCAGGAAAGGTGGTCCGCCAGGACGTGCGTCAATCTGGGATTTGCTTTAAATGCAGCGCTCCAACCCTCGACGTTGACCCAACGTGGGGAGCTGAGCGCCACTTTGGGCGCCTGGGGCGCCCACGGGGCCTGCGTCACTCCTGGAGGACGGGGAGGAAGAAGAGGGGGGGGGAGGTAAACTAGATGCGGTCGCGGAATAGTTGGCATCTTTCCCCCCCTACCCATCCCTACAGATTGGGCGGATGCTGTCTTTATCCGCAAACGCATGTCATAGCGGATTCGGAATACACAATAGGACCCAATTGTGTAATGCGTCATCGTGATCGGGGAGCTGCATACATTGGAATGGGGGGCACGAGGAGCTGGCAGGTGGGCATGAGAATGGGCGTGAGGAACAGGAAAAAAGCCTAGGAAGCCCACTGGCAAAGAAACAAAAGCAGCAGGAGCTGGAGTGGAGGGCATGAGGACAAGGTGGCGGCGGCGAAGGGGAATGGAGGGCGACGACGATGAGGAAGAACTCGGACCCCCAAACAAGACCCACGCTGGGGCGACGGCGACTTTTCCTGAATGACGGGCGTCAAACACCAATTCTTACGTAAAACCACGCTGCCGCGGGCCACTCCCCGGCCATCTCCGGGGGACAGGGGAGAGTAGCAGTCACACTCGGAGAAGATGAGATAAGACAGCGCTTTGAGAAAGGTCGGAGGGTGATCACACCAAGGACTAGCAATATTACTAAAGTTATGCCCTCTGAAAGTTGGCTTCTCTGGCCTTCGCTCTCTCGAGTATGGCTGCCAATATCTGCTCATACTGTGGGGCGGTTTCACTCGAGGAGAAGCCTCTGGGGACGGACAACACGCTCTGCGCATCCCGGGGGCCTGTGAGCGTCGCGTCAAGTCGAGACAGGGGTATGGTTTTATCCAACCTTCCCCGCAACTTTGGATTTGGCCCAATTCCCCGACGAAGCGCGCTCAAAACCTCCAAGCCTTCAGGGGTGGGAGCCTGGCATTGCTTTGCCAGTTTAATCATCCGCCCCTGACTCCAGCCACCACAGTTGAGACATAAGAACTGTTGCTCCTCCACCTCAGTGTGTCCAGAATCCCCAAGAGGTCCCGAGGAAGCACCAGAAGCAGTCATAAGAGCCGTTCCCGACACGGCGACGAGGGAGTGTCACAGGAGGGCAGGCGTTACCATGGAGGCGAGGAAAGGATAGAGCGGGGGAGAGCGGAGGGGGAGGGGAGGACTGGTCGTCACCGCCGCCGCCGCCGAAGTCGTCACCGCCGCCGCCGCCGCCGAAGTCGTCACCGCCGCCGCCGCCGCCGCCGCCGCCGCTAGCTCCGAGGCGACCCGCCGCGCAGTGGCCGCCGGCCGCGAGGGCGCGGGGCTGAAGGCCGCCCCCGCGGGCGAGGCCGAAGCACCGCCGATGCGCAGCTGCCCGCCGCGCTGGGCCAGCTGGTGGGCGCGGTGGATGATCTGGCCTCGGCCGGGAGGGGGGGGGGATCTTAAGACTCCGGCGCCGAGCCTGGGGGTGGACGTGCGGGGGGGCGGGCCTTCTCAGAAGGCTCGGCAGTCCCCCGGCCTTCTGCGCAGCTTCCCGTGAGCCTTCCAAGGCGCGAAGGTGCTGTGAGAAGCCCTGCCGCCTTCCGAGAATCGGGGGCGGCCAAGATGGGGGCGTCCAAGAGGGGGGGGGGGGGGGGCGCAAATCATGGCCGGCAGCACGTGCGCGGCCCAGGGAGGGCGCCAGGCTCGTAATGCAATAAGCAGAGGCGCCATGAGATCTGAGGAAATATCATGGCCCGGGCCATGATACCCACCCACCCCTAGTCATCTAGAAGAAGAAAGAACCACATTAGCATAAACTTTTGGCGCTCCGCGCGGATTTCTTGAATACGCGCTGAACCCCCCGCCCTGGCGCGCGGAGCGCGCCAGGGGCGGCGCCGGAGGCGCCGCTGGGGGGCCCAGGCGAGGATCCAAGAGATCCGCGCGGAGCGCCAAAAGTGTATGCTTGTGTGGTTCTTTCTCCCTCGATCATCACCCCCCTCTTGGCCGCCCCCGAGAGAAGAGGCCTTCTACCCCTCGGGTCCCCCCTTTGGCGACGCGCCCAAGAGAGTGGTGCGAGGCGGGAGGGCTTCTTAGACGGAGGCTGCTTTTTGGAAGGCACCGGCCTCACATATGTAGAGAAGGCCCGCGCCTTCTAAGAATCAGGGGTGCTTCTAAGAAGCCCTTCCCCATCCCCCCACCCCCCTCTGCGCGTGGCTGAGGGGGGTGGAGGCCCTCCTCCTCGTCCTCCTCCTCGTCCTACTCCTCGTCCTCCTCCTCCTCCTTCTTCTCCCCCCCCCTACCTGTGGCAGTGGTGGTTGAGAGTCGGCCCACCCCCCTCTGCGCGTGGCTGACCCCTCTCGCCCGCCGCCGGAACAATAATAATAATAATAATAATAATAAAAAACATGCGCCTGCCCTGGGCTGCAGAGGTGGGCCAGCGGCCGCACGTGCAGCGGCGGCGGCCACTGCGGCCGCACCTCTGCGGCCAAGGGCGGCGGCCGCCGCTGTGGTGGCAGTGCGCGTGGTTGAAGGGGCCCAGGGACACACAAATAAACACACACACACACACAAATCCCAGGATTCCCCATAGTCTCCAGTGTTTTCTGGGCTCTCGTTTTTCCCACTCACCATAGTTTCCCATATTCATTGTGTCTGTGTGTTCTTGTTCCCTCCTGACTTATCCCTATCCCTGCGATTGACAAGCCAAGAGGCGACGCCATCTTAGGGATGTGCCCTCAGAGGCTGCAGGAACGCTCAGGATCGGCACCGAGGCCAGGCGATGGCACACGCATGGGATAGGGATCTGTCTCAAGCTGGCAAGTCCGGCGCGCGGAGGGTGCGGAGGGTGGAGGGCGTGCGGCGTGCGCCAACGCCGGCAGTGTCCAGGCCCATCCCGGGCCCAAGATCGGCGCGCACGCGCCCTCCCGGCTCAGGCCGGGAGGGCGCGCCCGATCCTGCGCCCGGGCGTGGCCTGGCCAAGATCGGCTCTGGCGCACGGTTGGCGATCGCCCGGCCTATGGGGCTCAGGGCCGAGACCCGCGAGGACACCACGCTCCCCGGCGTGCGCCGCGCGGACCTCGCCTCGCCAGGCGTCGACCTCGCGGTCGCTGGGCGCCCGGGCGCCTCCCCGGGCGTGGCGCCGAGGGCCCTGATCCGCCCCGTGCGGGACCCCGCCTTCTTCTGCCGCTGGCGCTCCGCGGCGTCCCGCTGCAGGCGCTCCGCTGCCAGCTCCCGCTCGTCCTTGTCGGCCATGTTGAACCGGGGCCCGCGGTCCTCCTCGTCCAGCAGCCTCGGGGTGGAGGCGACCTTGCCGTACGTCATCAGCGGCGAGAGCCCGTCCACCCCGGGCAGCAGCGCGGGCGTCTGCAGCAGGCCGTAGGACTTCTTGGACAGCAGCTCCAGGCGGCCGCCGGGCGCCCGCGCGGTCTGCGCCTGCAGCTGCGACAGATCGAACTTGCCGTCCGTGGCCGCGGCCGCCAGCGCGTTCTCGAGCTTCTCCCCGTCCATGCGCGCGCGGCGCGAGGCCACCTGCGCCGCGAACCCAGCGTCGAGGTCCGTCTGCTGGTCGGTGGTGAAGCGGGTGTTCCTGAACAGGATCTTGGGCTTCTCGAGCGAAGGCTGCGGCACCCCGTGCGGCGTGAATGACAGGGCGTTCCGGCCCTTGTGCTCGGCGAACGTGACGACACCCTTCGGCAGCGTGTCGCCGTTTGCGATCGCGAACTTCTGCGCCTTGACCTCTGTGTTGTGCCGCTTTTCGGCGTCCTCGATCCACCAGTACTTCTCCCGCTTTCGCTTCAGGTCTCTCGCGACGATCTCCTCGAAGGCGGCATTGTCCTCGGAGGTGAAGACGCGCTGGAAGTCGTCCAGGCGGACGCGCGACAGGTCCACCATCACCTCTTTGCCGTCCGCGAGCCTGAACATCCTCTCGTTGGTCGAGCTCTCCTCTCGGGAGCCAGCAAAAGCGCGGCAGCGGGCCGGATCCTGGGCACCAGCGACGCAGCCTGCCGCCACCGACCCCGCGCATCCTGCGGAAGCAGTCTGGGTTCAGCGTCCCGAGCCGAGTCCGACAGTGAGGGAGCTCTGGGTGGCTCTGGGCTGGTGCCGAGTGACCAGAGGCACAAAAGCACCAGAATCGGAGGCAACGATCGTGCAGTCAACGGCCCTACGGGACTGGCACGGGAGGCGATAGAGGGCGCGGACTGCAAAAGCAAAAACGTCACCCTGCCTTTTCCCCAGACGCTAGAGGTCTCTGTTGGTCTCACGGGTCTTCCTCTCGAGGCCCGCAGACGCCCAGACAGGCCCAGAAATTCCCAAGACCGCACAAGGACCTCGACCCTCGACGTCGAATCCCCGCAAGCTCGTCGACCTCTGAACGTTGAGCCCAAGCTGGCGTCTGATCCCTGCGACCGCCGCCTGCCACTTGCTCTGCAGCCCGTCGCGGGTCGGAGAGAACTGCTCTGTCGACGCGTCCTTGGCAGCTGAGACCTACACAACGGTGAAGAGTGCCGCGAAAGCGCCTGATAAGGGGCCTCGACCCCGGACGTCCGAGAGGGAACGTGAGGGGGGGACTGGCTCAAGGGGGAAGACTGAGCCGGAATTGGCGCTACATCGCCGATAGATCGGCGATAGGCCCCCGGCGGCAAATCAGCACGATCCTGAGCGTGGTGGGCTATCGGGCCCCTGTCGGCGATCAAGGGGCGATTGAGGGTCGATGCATCCCCCCCCCTGAGCCTATCCCAACCTGACCTTGCCTCTGATCCGCGAATCGAATGTAGAATATCCAGAGGATCTTGTCTGCCCCCTGGCGCCCCTATCCGCGCCGCGTCCGCGTCGAACTCGTCGAATCCACGTCGGATACACGCCAAACCCGCGTCGAGACCGCAGCGAGCGTGCGTCGGGCACAAGAAAAGACACAGTCAGTCCTAGAACAGAAGCACACCCTGGAAGAACATGAGACCCTCCGTCGGCCAAAACAAGCAGAACGTCCAAGGGCACCCTCCCGAGGATGCACAAGAGCATCCAACAAACACGAACAAAAACTGGGGTACCCCGAACCGACCTCGATCTTATACCTCGGTCCGACTGCACCGCTTCTGGGGGGGGGACCTGACGCGGCCCCCCTGAAGGTGCAGTGTGACGACTCCCGGGCCGAGGCCCCCCTCGAGCAGGACGCGCTCCCCCCCGGAGGCCGACCACCACGGCCAGCCCTCCTCCCTCTGACCCCCACCCGTGGAGTATACAGCCAACCCGTATAATAATGAGGGCGCTCGATAAGGATGCAGCGGCCAAGGACGGGCCGACAGAGAAGGCTGCAAGGGTAGCCTTGGGTTGCTCATCCTTACTATGCGGGTTGACTGTATGGCGGGCTCCGGAAACCCAGATCCCAACGACTGGGTTTCCATCGATTGAGCGTGTGATGCTTCTCCTTCCGCCGGCTTCCGCCGACTGCTGCCGGCGGAGGCGGCCTCGCTTTACTTCCGCCGCCGTCCGCCGCCCTTCCGCAGCCTCCCGCCGAGGAAACTATGGCAAACTCTTCGATCCTCGAAGGTCGGGCCCCGTCTGGAACGCCCCATATCTGGGCGTGTGCGTGCTGTTCGCTCGCCGACATCCCACTCTGACGCTGCCCCTGCACCTCGAGTCCCCGCCGGAGATCCTCGGGCAGGACGCTCCGGGCAGGACGCTCTCAGGGCCCCTGGAGGCCACAACCTGCGGAAAGACCTCCGCCTCGACTTTTTTCACGGCGCTGGCTCTCTGGGGAAGCCTTGAGTCGGCGGTGGACAAAACTCCCTTTAGAAAACCTCCCCTTGGTGAAAACGGCCTGGGACCGAAACCGACGGACCTGGACCCGCAAAAATGACGGCCGCAACGCCCTCTCGCGAACCGAAAACGGCCAATTCCTTAACCTTACTCGACGTGTCAGGGTAGGAGGTCTGTCCACCTCCGATAAGAGAGCCTCCGGCCTCCCGAGGAGGGGGGGGGAGGAGGGGGCGCCCAGGAGGAGGAGGGGGAGGAGGAGGGGGAGGGGAAGGGGGGAAAGGAGGGGGGAGGGGGGAGGGGAAGAGGAGGGGGGATGAGGGAGGAGGAGGAGGACGACGAGGAGGAGGACGAGGAGGAGGAGAAAGCTAAGAAGGCCTGTCCACCCCCGATTGAGCCGGCACGTGGCCGCCGAGGTCCTCGGGCAGGACGCTCTCCAGCTCGTCGTCGCGCTCCCAGGCGCTCGCCGCGGGCGGCCCGCCGGCGGCCGGCCCCGCCGCGCGCAGGCCACCTGCGGGCGCGCCCTGGCCTCGCGGAGGGGGCGCCGCCCGCGCCGCCCCGGGGCGGCGCGGCCCGCCCTCGACGGAGCTCCTCCGCCTCCTCCTCCTCCTCCTCCTCCTCCTCCTCCTCCTCCTCCTCCTCCTCCTCCTCCTACTCCTCCTCCTACTCCTATCCTTATTCCTTAATAGAATATACTCCTACTCCCCCCTCAGGCCGGCCATTCGGGGCCGCATCCGGGTGGTCCCATCCTAACCTGTAAAAAACAATACAACATCAACATTTTTCTTATTTTTTCCTCTCGACATGGACGTCCTGTCGTCCACGGCGATAATCCATTGCAAAAAATACCAACAAAGAGCACACGCGCGCGTTCATGTCAGAATCCTACCGAACACCGTGTGTTTGCAAGCATTTCAACATAAAAACATCAAAAACCAAATGCTTTTTTCACAAAAATTGTACAAATTTCCCGCCCGGGCTCTCTTGCTGAAATCATAGGAAAACCATAGGAATCTTAAGAATTCTGTCAAATCCAGCGATTTCACGTCATCGCGCGGTGCACTCGCGATGCTCTGTCATGCACCCAGGCCGCGAATCCTGTGCAAAAAATGAGCACACTCGCGCGTTCATGTCAGAATCCTACCGAACACCGTGTGTTTGCAAGCATTTCAACATAAAAACATCAAAAACCCAATGCTTTTTCACATGCTTTGGGGTGTCCTGTCAGACCGTCGGGCTTCCTCCGGCCACCTCTGGCTTCCTGCGGTGTACCGGGCCATTCTCGACTCGTCTGGCAATGCGTGCGCGGCATTCAACACGCGCTCGCCAGTTCCCGTCGGCAACCGCCATCGCGGCCGCATCAGCTGTACCAAACCGGCTGGCCGGTGTGACTTCGGCCCCCAGTTGTGCCAGCTTTGCTTCTTATGTTGTGGGAGGGCGGGTGGGACTGGGCATGCCATGCTTGACTCGCTCGAGCTGGCTAGCTTGACTCCTACTCCTACTCCTACTCTTACTCCTACTCCTACTCCTACTCCTACTACTCCTACTCCTACTCCTACTCCTCCTCCTCCTCCTCCTCCTCCTCCTCCTTCTCCTCCTCCTCCTCCTCCTCCTCCTCCTCCTCCTCCTCCTCCTCCTCCTCCTCCTCTTCCTCCTCTCTTCTTCCTTCCTCACTCCTCTCCCTTCCTCCTCCTCCCCCTCCCCTCCACTCCTCTCCTCCTCCAACTCCTCCTTCCCTCCTCCTCCTCCTCTCCTTCTTCGCTTCCTTCCCCTCCTTCTCCTCCTCCTCCTCTCTCCTTCCTCTCTCCTCTATCTTATTCCCCTTTAATTAGAATATACTCCTACTCCCCCCTCAGGCCGGCAGATAGGGGCCGCATCCGGGTGGTCCCATCCTAACCTGTAAAAAAAAACAATACAAAATCATTATTTTTCTTATTTTTTTCCTCTCGACATGGACGTCCTGTCGTCCACGGCGATCATCCATTGCAAAAAATACCACAAAGAGCACACGCGCGCGTTCATGTCAGAATCCTACCGTACACCGTGTGTTTGCAAGCATTTCAACATAAAAACATCAAAAACCCAATGTTTTTTCACAAAAATTTTAAAAATTTCCCGCCCGGGCTCTCTTGTGAAATCATTAGGAAACGGATTTAGGAATCTTAAGATTCTCAAATCCCACGATTTCACGTCATCGCCGCGGTTACTCGCGATGCTCTTGTCATGCCCCAGGTCCGCGAATCGTGCAATAAAAACAACAAAAAAGCGAACTCGCCACCGGGCTGCGCGAATCCTACCGAACACCGTGTGTTTGCAAGCATTTCAACATAAAAACATCAAAAACCCAATGCTTTTTCAAAAAAATGCTTTGGGGTGTCCTGTCAGACCGTCGGGCTTCCTCCGGCCACCTCTGGCTTCCTGCGGTGTACCGGGCCTTTCTCGACTCGTCTGGCAATGCGTGCGCGGCATTCAACATGCGCTCGCCAGTTCCCGTCGGCAACCGCCATCGCGGCCGCATCAGCTGTACCAAACCGGCTGGCCGGTGTGACTTCGGCCCCCAGTTGTGCCAGCTTTGCTTCTTATGTTGTGGGAGGGCGGGTGGGACTGGGCATGCCATGCTTGACTCGCTCGAGCTGGCTAGCTTGACTCCTACTCCTACTCCTACTCCTATCCTTATTCCTTATTAGAATATACTCCTACTCCCCCCTCAGGCCGGCCATTAGGGGCCGCATCCGGGGGGTCCCATCCTAACCTGTAAAAAACAATACAAAATCAACATTTTCTTATTTTTTCCTCTCGACATGGACGTCCTGTCGTCCACGGCGATAATCCATTGCAAAAAATACCACAAAGAGCACACGCGCGCGTTCATGTCAGAATCCTACCGAACACCGTGTGTTTGCAAGCATTTCAACATAAAAACATCAAAAACCCAATGCTTTTTTCACAAAAATTGTACAAATTTCCCGCCCGGGCTCTCTTGCTGAAATCATAGGAAAACCATAGGAATCTTAGGAATTCTGTCAAATCCAGCGATTTCACGTCATCGCGCGGTGCACTCGCGATGCTCTGTCATGCACCCAGGCCGCGAATCCTGTGCAAAAAATACCACAAAGAGCACACTCGCGCGTTCATGTCAGAATCCTACCGAACACCGTGTGTTTGCAAGCATTTCAACATAAAAACATCAAAAACCCAATGCTTTTTCACAAAAATGCTTTGGGGTGTCCTGTCAGACCGTCGGGCTTCCTCCGGCCACCTCTGGCTTCCTGCGGTGTACCGGGCCATTCTCGACTCGTCTGGCAATGCGTGCGCGGCATTCAACACGCGCTCGCCAGTTCCCGTCGGCAACCGCCATCGCGGCCGCATCAGCTGTACCAAACCGGCTGGCCGGTGTGACTTCGGCCCCCAGTTGTGCCAGCTTTGCTTCTTATGTTGTGGGAGGGCGGGTGGGACTGGGCATGCCATGCTTGACTCGCTCGAGCTGGCTAGCTTGACTCCTACTCCTACTCCTACTTCTACTCCTACTCCTACTACGACTACGACGACTACTACTACTACTACTACTACTACTACTACTACTACTACTACTGCTACTACTACTACTACTACTACTACTACTACTACTACTACTACTACTCCTATCCTTATTCCTTATTAGAATATACTCCTACTCCCCCCTCAGGCCGGCCGATAGGGGCCGCATCCGGGTGGTCCCATCCTAACCTGTAAAAAAACAATACAAAATCAACATTTTTCTTATTTTTTCCTCTCGACATGGACGTCCTGTCGTCCACGGCGATAATCCATTGCAAAAAATACCACAAAGAGCACACGCGCGCGTTCATGTCAGAATCCTACCGAACACCGTGTGTTTGCAAGCATTTCAACATAAAAACATCAAAAACCCAATGCTTTTTCACAAAAATTGTACAAATTTCCCGCCCGGGCTCTCTTGCTGAAATCATAGGAAAACCATAGGAATCTTAAGAATTCTGTCAAATCCAGCGATTTCACATCATCGCGCGGTGCACTCGCGATGCTCTGTCATGCACCCAGGCCGCGAATCCTGTGCAAAAAATACTACAAAGAGCACATTCGCGCGTTCATGTCAGAATCCTACCGAACACCGTGTGTTTGCAAGCATTTCAACATAAAAACATCAAAAACCCAATGCTTTTTCACAAAATTGCTTTGGGGTGTCCTGTCAGACCGTCGGGCTTCCTCCGGCCACCTCTGGCTTCCTGCGGTGTACCGGGCCATTCTCGACTCGTCTGGCAATGCGTGCGCGGCATTCAACACGCGCTCGCCAGTTCCCGTCGGCAACCGCCATCGCGGCCGCATCAGCTGTACCAAACCGGCTGGCCGGTGTGACTTCGGCCCCCAGTTGTGCCAGCTTTGCTTCTTATGTTGTGGGAGGGCGGGTGGGACTGGGCATGCCATGCTTGACTCGCTC